GGACCTAAAGATTTAATGTCGGGACGGGCGGGATCGGGTTTGAATATTTAGTCCCGCGCCCATTTCTGATATGGAGCTCACAGCTGAATTCGCCTCGACAATTTTTTCCGTACAACTTCGGATCAGCCGTAAACAAGTAACCCGGAAAATACAGTGTTTTGCAGCAAAGCAACTTGAAGCACTTTTCTTGTGGAGAGACTGCAATCGTATACAGACGGATCCAAAACTCCCTACGGCATTTAGGCAGGTATTTACGGGCCAATGTTGAAGCTATCGGTACCCATGGGAGCATATCCGAGTATCTTTCTGGCGGAGGTCTATTCCATTAGTCTGTGCGCAGAGATTAACCTACGCAGAAATTACCGCAGTGAGAAAATTCTAAAATTGAGTGATAGCCAGGTGGCACTCAAGGCCTTCTCATTACTTGAGGTAAACTCGTATCCCTAGTTCTTGAATGCATTGATAGGCTTAACGTCCTGGCGGAGCACAATGTTATCAGACCAATTTAGATACCAGGCCACATAGGAGTTGAGAGTAACGAGGAAGCAGACCGGCTAGCCAGAATGGCGGCCGCCTCGTCTCCTACAGCACCTAGCTCAGGAGGGAGAGGTACAGATTCAGAGAACAATACAACCTTACAAGGTACAAGGCAGGCAGATTTCTGGGATCTCTAGGGTTGGTTAAGGTACTGTGAATGTTTGAGAGTACAATAGACCTCTTGGTCGCAGCTCAAAAATTTTGAATCTGCGAGAAACAGAGTTGACAAAATTATCACCTTGAGTGAAGTCTTGCCCTGTCCACGAGTAAAACTGTAAACGCTATGCCTCTATCATTGAAATTTATAAATGAAAGGTCTTATGAATCTCTTTGTGCATTACAAGCCTAACAACGGAATGTCAATTTTTCACGCTTTAACGCCATCAACTGTAGTGGATTTCTTGGCAGATAGAGCTATGTATACATTGCAAAGCAACAACATCAACAACAACAATAACTGACAAAACTTCCAATATAATTTATGCTATTACATTTCCACTTCATCGATTGCTTAGGCGAATTGAGTAGTTGGAATGCAACACCATATTGACGCCAATAGCAACAAAATAAAAGCAAAGCAAATAACGGCAACACCGCAACACAGCAACACCACACACAATAACAACAATGAAGCAACATTTAAACTAGAAAGCAGCATCACATCGCCGCCATTGCCATCAACAGCAATCAATATTAAATTAGAAGCCAACAGACAATTCCGACGATGACACCAATGCACCACACGATCTACAACAACAACAATAGCCATAACAACAGCAATAGCAATAGCAATAATAACCAGCTAATGCTAAATGCGCGCCAATGGCAAAAGTAATCAAGGCGAACACGTGCTGCGCATGCGGTCAAAGTCAGTGCGGTGTGGTGTGTCGTGGTGCGCGGAGCGTCTTACAGTCGGGCAAAGCTAAGCGTCGGACAGGCGATGAATGGCAATGAGAGGCACTTTTGGAGCTTGTGAGAAGCCGCGCAAGTAACCGCAAAGGATGCGTTGCGGCAAGGCGTCAGATTTGCATGCATACATACATACACATCGATTTGTATATAAGTACAAACATATGTATATTTTAATAAACTTATCGACAGTTCTGTGTAAGAAATCGACAGCAATAAATACATATGTACATATGGCTGCAAGTAAGTGCAATCCAATGAAGAGCAAAAAATGAAAAATGCAAAAACAAAAATCTGCCTGCCAGGAATGTTCGACCGGCGTTGGCGGCTTAAAAGCAAAATGAGGGTGGCAGGACGAAGTGATCAACGGCCGCCAGTCTCCACCAACCACCACCGCAGGCAGGCGCTGTCGCCATCTCCACCACCAACGCCACGCCACGGTGTTCGACTGCATTGTTGCGGCTTCTACTAAGCCAATATTTTTGAAGCCTTCAGGCGGCTAAGCGTCGGATGCCTAAGTGTGAGTTAGAGTGTGCGCTGTACGTCTCGTCTATCAATAACTTGCCTCATCAGAATGTGGAGCATTGTTAACAAAAACAACAAATACCCGAATGGCGCAAAAAAGGTGTTTGGTACGCGCTGCTCGCAGCTGCGTCTCAAAGTAATGGGAGCTGCACAGGCGCAGGCGCAGACGAACGCAAAATAATCGGTAATTTTGTTTGAACGCCAAGCTGCAAATAGCATTTGATTTTGTGGCGTTTGTTGCGGCAATATCTTCTTTATTTTTACTGTTAGTGGTTCTGCTATTGAGGCAAGATGCAATCCAGCGATTCACTGTGGCACAAAAAGGGAAACATTCAGACGTCAAATCTTGCTTACTCGTTTCCGATCTACGGAGTTTCTTTCTGATGGATGAGCTGTCCTCAAAGAGCGATTCCGAGCTGTACAAGCTTTTTTAAAGCTGTGTTAGGTAAAATGAAGGATTGCTCTTTTCCCCGAAACCCCACTTCGTGCTAAAATGCAGCGAATTAAAATTCGTCGGCTCCGCTTTCTGGTTCATGTCGTTCGAATGGACAAAAACGCTTCAGCTCTGAAAGTATTCAACGCTGGTCGCTGGAAGAGGCCTCCTCTGCGTTGGAAAGACAAGGTGGAGAAGGATTAGGTAGAGAAATCACTGGCGTGCTGTTTTGGAATCGGACAAAATCCCAGTGCTGGGAGCTTTAACAGATTGCTGCTTTGGTATAAATGGAATTTTATTGAATTACTTTCGCGACTGGGATCTTCACAACGTATCTAGGTAGAGGTATAGCTCGAAGACTCTTCAAAAACTCGTTCTGCCAGACCGCGTATTTAATAAAAATTCCAACGGTCGCCGCTGTAACTCGCGCTTCCCCAGCAACAATGGATAGTGGCCATGCTTAATTTTTTGACAGAGTTGAGTTGGAGTACCGAGAGTGCGCTTATCAGATCAGAGAAGTTGACTTTAAGCGCAACTTCGAAGCTCACTTTCTCTTTACTTTTACACTTCTAGATTACTGTAGTGTGTTGCAGGCTTAAATATATCTAATCGACATCGTGGCAAAGCAGCCATCTACCTTCGTTCTCACGATTTGAGAAAATTCCTAGGTCAGCTACAAGCAGCTGGACTAATCTGCTGCATGCTTAGTTTCACGCTCACGTCGCCACTGCTTTTAGAACGAAGAACTCAAAGTTTGCTAAGCATCTAAAAACAGAACTTCCATCTTCTCACCAACCGGAGCCTAGAGAGGAACCGATGTCTAGAGAGGCTGTAGAGGTGGGGAAGCGGTAAAATCCATTAAGAAATTCTTGTTTGTATGCACCACTCTACCTGGAAAGCTTTTTCGAGACCTCAAATAATACTTTAGTAAAAACTTTTTTACATGATGTAGTTGGATTCATAAATCGGGAGGGTTTAAAGAAATGTAAGGACAGCGTGGGAAAAATCCTCTCCTGGGCATTACAATGGAGTTTTGCGGACGCGAGTGAACTCTTAACTAAAGCTGTCTGTTTAGGATAACCTAACCTTCTTGGCTGTAAGCAGCCGACTTGACTGCCTTTTTACTTTTCGCCAAGTGCCGAAGTTGTTCGCTGAACTCTCTCAATCGGCGAGACAACACACGAAGTCTCGGTAAAAAGGATGCGTTCACCAAGTTGCATTTCAGTTCGGACGGCTCATCTGAATGGCGACGATCGAGTCCGGCGATCGTTTGCAGCTAGCGTGCACATTTTTTAACTCCCGCGTTCCAATATCATCATCGTCCACATAGCTAGGGAATTTCTTCTAATGAAGGTAGTAGGAGAGGGCTACATAGGCTGTGTCTAAGCTAGTTTTTCTTCTTGCTGTAAAACAGTGTGCTTGGTAAAAAATTTAAATCGATTATTTGCACTTCCAGCCACTGTGCGAGATATCAGCACGCGCCACAGTGAATACCAAGAACGCTGCTTTGAAATCGCTATAGTCTGGTCACAACTGCTTGATTTGATTTGAATTCCTGTATGCTATCTGTGTATACAGTTTGCTTTTATAACCCGAAGGCACCGATATCAAACTCAACTAAATGGGTGCTCGAGGTAACTAGTCGTCCAATCACATAGTCAGCGCAATTTCCCTTCTGGCTACTTAGACCTCTACTGTAGACAAGTTTTTTGTGCCTGATATTTTGCTGCATGGTTTCATTTGAAACGGTCAATTTTTTTGTCCGTTGCGCTGCCTGTTTACCAAGGACGGCTGCAACATAATTGATGGTCTCACCACAGCCCACGCGCTCATTGAATGTTCAAACAAAGAAAGCACACCGGTAAATATGTACACGCGTCCATATGTATGTGTCTACTATTGGAGGCACGCAAATCAACCGATGTTCGACCGCAGGCGCAAACAGATTAGAATATTCAAATTGCAGAATTTTTTTTGTAGTAGTCGCTTGTGATTCTGTATTTCCTATGCCTCTATTCCTGCAAGGACAGCCGGCTGGTATATGGCGCGCTTGCAGAAGCTGTGCAACATTTTTAATCGCGGTTACTGCGCAGCGCTAAAAATTTGATTGGAAGGTAGCGATAGAATTAGACTAGCGCCGAAGGCATTCAGTAGGCAGAATACGGCCATATTGACTTAGCGGAGGAGAGTAGTAATGGGCGTGTGGATAAAGGCTTACTGAATGAAATAAGATTGAAGGGTATGGTAAAATAGGTCAGCAATGTGGGTCAGTAGCGGGAGAGAGAGAGAGAGAAATGAGAAAAGGAAATAAAGTTACTATAGGTTATTGCTGTATTATTATTTTATTAATGAAAAGAAAACAATTTTCAGTTCTACCGCCAATTCAATGTGAATAAAAAACCAGAGCCAAAAACTTCGCTTGGAACCAATTGCCATTACTATTATCATTACTGTGCCAATACCATTATCTTTTCTAGCTGCATTACCTTCGCCATTACATTTACTATTGTATCTAATTAGTCTGTCCTGCTGTTTTGAAACATACTTCGTCATCGTCTCAATCACGCATCACCTTTTCTTCTTTCCCTCTTTACAGTCTTCACCTGGGGCAAGCGCATGAGCCGTAAGCTGGATATATTGAAGCGCAGCGACACCACCAACACGCACAAGTCGCACACCGATCTTCGTTCACTCTTTCACACATCCACACACAACAACAATAACAATGACAACGTCAAGGACAACTATCAGACGCACACATTAAAGAAATGCAAATCCGGACCTATCGAGACGATAAAACAGCAGCAGAAGAACCAACAGCAGACGCATGAGCAACAACAAAGCCGACAACCCAAACAGCAACAACAAAATGGCCACATACACCAGAAGCAAGAGAAATCGAAGGACGCCAACGCTGGCAACAACCAGCAGTCAACACCAACACAACCGAACGCGCAACACCGCTCACAGAAAGCTATCAAAAATTTCTTCCACCGCATCGGCTCTACCGGCATGCTCAACCACAAGTCCCACAATCTGATTAAGGCCGCCGAACCGAGCGGCTCGACTGCAAGCAATTTGTACCGCAGCAGCTCCACTAGTCAGCTGACCAGCTCGTCATACATCAAGTGCGACGATCCGACGGAGGGCCTGAACTTGGCCAACAACCGGCAGGGCAAACTGCAAAAGGGTGCCACGAACGCAGCAACAAATCTGAAGTCGAGCAGCTGCGATGACATCGCCAAAGTGGGCACATGCACTTCGCCGAGTGGGGAAGCCACAGCGACTGGCGTTCAGACGCAAGGTGTGGCCTCCCAGTCCGGCGTTGCTGGGCAAGAGTCATCTAATCGACGCGGCGCTTTCCCTTACGCCTTTCTACGCTCGCGCCTTTCAGTGTTGCCTGAAGAAAACGGCGGTTCGGTGATGAAGCAGCCATCACTGTGCAGTTTGCACACAATCGGCGCTGGTGGTGTGCAAGAGATGCCGCATCCATCTGCGCAGTACCTACAGGTGGGTCAGCAGTATTCACCAGTTCCACAGCATCGCAACTCAACACCGTTGCTGCCCAGTGAAGCCGCAGCGTTGGCCGAAGGCGCCATGGACTCTATATCGCTGGCAAGCACTTCTCCAAATCACCAACAGAAGGTGATTTATCGGAATGGCGCGCTGATCAAGCGCTACTCCTCGGACGACAGTGCGATCAGCAACTGTTCGCCACAGCAGACGTCCGGCACTGGCGGTATGATGATTAGCGGCGGCGTTGGCGAGGTATTAGTGTCGCGCAACAATAGCGTCTCCTCCAAGGACTGGGAACCACTTTACCAAAGATTAAGTAGTTGTCTGAGTTCGAACGAGTCAGGTTACGACAGTGACGGGGGAGGTGGCGGTGGCGTAGGCGTGGGCACCAATAGCGTCATCGTAGGAAGCAGTGAAAGCGGGTGCGGTAGTGTTATTTTCGTTGGGAACACCACGAATGTACAACTGCTGGGCAATAATCTTGGTATCTCCTGTGGAGATACAGAATCTATTGCGTCGGGTACGCTAAAGAGGAACTCGCTGATTTCGCTGACCTCATCCGAGAGCGGTGTGGGATGTGGCGGTATACGTAGTAATAGCATATGCAGCACGGCGAGCGGCTCAGTCTCATTGGGTGGCTACAATTACGACTACGAGACGGAGACCATACGCAGACGATTCCGGCAGATAAAGTTGGAGCGAAAGTGTCAGGAAGACTGCATTGGGCTGGTGTTGTCACCGAAGACTGTCATGACCTCAACGAACGAACAGCAGTACCGTTACCTGATAGTGGAGATCGATCCGTACGGCATGGCCCAGAAGTAAGTAAACTGGTGAAGATCCTGAACCAAAATAGTGTAGAGCATAAAAACACTATGTACTCTAAAAAACATTTATATATTTTTCTATTTCTCTCTCTCTCTCTTCCTCTCGCACAGAGATGGCCGCCTGCGCTTGGGCGACGAGATTGTCAACGTGAACGGTAAACACTTGCGTGGCATGCAGTCCTTCGCCGAAGTGCAGCGCCTACTCTCGACGTTCGCGAACAACTGCATCGATTTGGTGATCGCACATGACGAGGTCGCTACAGTCACTGATTTCTATACGAAAATCAAAATCGACGGCAGTTCAGCACAAGCATACAATTCCCTGCAGTCTCTACATGCCGGTAGTAGCGAACCAGCGCCAGCGTCGGCGCCGCCCTCAGCCAACCCACAGAGCGAGTATATGGCGCGCGCGCGCAAGCGTCTCAGCTATACGCAGCGTACTCAGAGCACGGACAGCATCAACAGTTATGATCTACATAGCCTGCAGTTGGCGCTGGAGAACGAGCAGACACGGCAACGAGAAACGCGACGTCCATCCTCCGATGTAGTGGACTCCGCCGCCAGTGAGCTGGATGTGGATGATGATGCGCGCTCACTGGCCAGTGTGGCGACAATGCATTCGCTCAGTTCGATGCCAACGCCCATGCCGCTGATGCAGCATAGACGTTGCTCCACACCGCGGCACTCCATGGATGTAGCGGCTTGTAGTGGTGAGTTTGTAGCCGAACATACGCGTAGACGCGCGCGCTCATCCTCCGGGCAACGCAATCTCGAGCTGACGCCGCTGTGCACCGCAAACACTGAGTACACGCCGGTGTATGCAAACCGCGCGTCCAGCATTTCACTGGCCACGCACACGATCAGCGACGATGAGAAGTGGCAGCTGTTGACACGCAAGCGCTGCTCTGAGGGCGCGGCGCTACTGCGCGTTCAACAGCAATCGCAGGACGAGCTGCTGGCAGGTTGTGGACGCGTGGCGGGCAATCGTAGTGCGTCGCTGACTTATGGTACGCCTGCGCCATCGACGACGAGTACATTTGCGGATGCTGCCGATGGTTCAGGCGATCAACAGCGACCGCAACCGCAACCATTTCCTTCGCGCACGCATTACACGCGCAACTCCATCAACCTGTCCAACTCGCACTATCGTTCGCTGCGGTTTGCCCATTCGCGGCTCAGCTCGTCGCGTCTGAGTTTATTTATACAGCCACAGCCACAGCCACAGCCAAGTGGCGGCGGCGGCGCTACCGTTGAGGCCAATAGACTAACAACCACAGCAACAAATAACAATAACTGTATTTACCAAAACTCCAAAGCCACTAATAGTACAAATAATACTAAAACACAAACAACAATAAACGCGACGCCGACTACAACAAAGACGGCGGTAGCAGCAGCGGCAGCGGCAATGACAGCAACGAAGGTGGCAACAACCAGTACTGTGGATGCGAAGACCTCAGGAAAGTGCGCCAATACCACCGACGATGATGTGAGCAGCCAGCGAAGGCAACAACAACAACGACGAGCGTCCTTCGATCTCACTAACAACACTAATACAAATGCTAATACTTATCATCTCATATCTTACCAACAACAACAACAACACCACCAAAACCAACAGCAACAACAACAACAACAACAACAACACAACCAGCGACACCCTGCAACGCAATCACATTTGTATCAACAACTTTTAACTGTACCAACATCTTCTATGCCAACAGCATTAACCGCTTCGAATAATTCGACTACAAAAACCACAACAGCGGCAACAGGTACAAAGCCTCTAACAACAACCAGCTGCCTTAACTCATTACAATATCATCGCCCTTCATTGCCCGCCGCAAAACTAACAATACGCGACGAAGAAATGGCCGAAGTCATACGCGCCTCGATGAGCGACGGTGAGTTTGGGGTGACCGGGTACAGGAAGGTTAAGAACGGAAAAAACACAAAATTCGAAAACACAGATAAATATACAATAATTTGTAAATAGAAAACAGGAGCTCCAAGCCTTTTTCAAAAACGTTTTTAAATTGGTATTCTTTCTAACTCTTGAAGAACAAACATAATACTAAAAACAAGCTTTCAAATAATTGCGCTTTCTATTAAATAATTCACAAAACTAAGTCATTGACATAGCGGAAATAATAAAAAAAAAAATTATTTGCACAAATTTCCTCAGATTTCTTATAAAAAAAAAGAAAAAAAATTTTCCTTCTGTGCACCCTGTGTTGTCTGACTTGCGCAACCTCCAGCGCCTGAACGTAGGCAACACCTGCAGCCGGAAATGTACCGCGTGCACCTACTGAGCGCTCCTGTGCGCCTGGTGCAATTGCGAATGTTGAAAATCTGGCAAAATATCCCAAAACTTTTTTCTCGCATGCGATTTTTGCGCTTTTAATGTAGATTCTGGGGAAATCTCAATATTTTCTTATATTAAATGAACTTACCGCATATCGTATTTTTTATTATTAAAATTAAGTTTTTTTTATAACTTGCCAAATTTTAATAGGTTCCAGCCGTTGTACAACACAAAAGACTATAACGTATTTCAAGGGACCCGGCATGAAATCACTGGGTTTTAGCATTGTTGGCGGACGTGATTCACCTAAAGGCAATATGGGTATTTTCGTTAAGACCGTATTCCCATCCGGGCAAGCGGCCGATGATGGTACGCTGCAGGCGGGTAAGTCAAGGCAAATTTGGGTATTGTTTATAAAAAAATTGCGGGCAGAAACATAATGAAAAAAAATAGCAAAATAAAATTATGAAAAAGAAGTTTAGAAAATACATACATAAGTACATTCATAAAATAAACTATTTTTTAAAGTAATGGTAATTTTTATAAACAGCTAACAAATAAACTGTTTTCCTATAAAAAATTAAAAACGCAAGCATAGAAAAATGTTAACAAATATCTTTGGAAGTGACTTTCATGAAAATGTTTTAAGAATCGAAAAAAAAAAAATAGTTTCTTTTAAAAACAATCAATAAAAATATTTTTGGGACTGAAAAATGCGAGCTTGCATTTTTATTTGCGTACGAATCGATTTTTTTATACATTATTTATTCTTAAATAAAAGCAAATAAAAATTGATTTAGAAGAATGAATATAATTTTTTATAATAGTTTCGAAAATGATTTTCAACCGAATGCATATTACAAAAAAAATAAATAAATAATTAAAAAAAATTGTTGTGAAAAATTTAAGAAACCAGATTTAAAAATATAATTATAATATTACTGCAGGGTTTACCAGCATTTTGAGTGAAAAATTTAATTGCTTTCATGAAACTTGCTAAATTCAAAATAACATAAGGAAAATTAAAAAAAAAGTATGTATGTATACATATATAAATTTTCAGAGCCAAATTTCAAAAATATTACAAGAAATTTGTTAAAATATTTCAATTTTTATAAAAAAAAAAAAAAAATATTAAAAACTTTACTTTTTGAAAACGAAATTACAGTTAAAATATGGTATTGGTAAAATGCGAGCTTAGTGAAATAATATTTGTTTTGTTAATTTCAGGCGACGAGATTGTCGAAATTAATGGCACGTCCGTGCAAGGTATGAGCCACGCGGAAACAATACGCCTATTCAAGGATGTGCGTGAGGGTGCTATAGTGCTCAAGGTGCTGAGGAGGAAGTGAGTATAATAAGAAGAGTGCTAAGGTGGCACTTAGCGACTGTACCGACAGCCTTTAGCTGGGGTCATTTCGCTACCGGATTTTTATCTGTCAATGTTTTTGCGAGTAAAGCTTTTAAAGCAACTGGTTTTAGATTCCGCTAGCGCCAATTCAACTGTTTTGCACTTTTATTATATATTTACTTTATTCAACTTTCTTTATTGAAATCGCTATTTTCCGTAGGTTACAAAAGGCTAAATCAATGGGCGCGTAAGATGAATTTTTGGAGAAAAACAGAAGTCAAAGGACATCCTATTATATCGGACGGACGGACGGACGTTTGTTCAAGCTACAACAAAAAGTCTTCGCTATGTAAAATAAGTAATTATAAGCAAATGTAATTTAAGAACTAATTTATATGTATGTAATTTAATTGTGAAAATATTTTTATAAACACAGAATGATTTAAAAAAATAAGCTAATTTAGTTGTGAGCTCGACTTTCATGTTTAGTGTTAAATGTAAAATATATGTATATTCAAAAAAAAAAAAGTAATATATATATATATATATGTATATATAAATTTTTTCGTTGTTGTAAAAATTACGCACACTACTAAGATTTGTCGTGCAAAATTTCAATGTAATACCAGTTTCGTGTTTAAAAAATGCTAGCTTTCACGCCAAAAGTAAAGTGTTGTTCAGTAAAAATAATGAATATATGTATAACTATAAATACGTTAAATACAATAAAAATTATGATTTTCAAGGCTTTGCCAATTATATATAAGTGTAAATAATTAAAATTTTAATAAAAAATGGACATGAAATATAACCAAAGCAGTGTTTTTGTTTAAATTAAGTTGGAAATGGTAAGCTGCACTAACGGTGTTTACTGGGCAATGCTAATCCTCATGCACATTCTGACACTTTCCATACAACTTCTCGATTTCTTCCGGTGATAACTCCACACTTTCGTGCCAATATCAATATTCAGTAAGCGCTCCTTGTTTTTTTTTTTATTTACATACAATATATAATTTTATTTCGATACTCTTTATGTTTAACTTTTTTGTTGTTGTTTTTCTAAAGTACTTACAAAAAGAAATGCAGTAATAATTTGACGCGAACTCGCATGACAATTACAATTTTTACACTGAAATATTATTACGCGTCTTATATAATTACTTGTGTTTTGAAACAAACAGTATAACATACATAGATATAATAAGAAAAAAAAATTAATATGCTAATAAAAATAGAAATTTGGAGAGAAACTTCCTTTTCAAACTGCTAGCAGTTCTATTGCAGAAAAATGGATTTCTAGCGAATATGTGGCTGCCTTCTAAAATTGTATGCTCAAACTACAACAAATATTAATTACACATTAAGCAAATCGTTTTCTAAACTACAAAGTGCTTATCAAAGTTTTTTGTTTCTTAATTTAGAACTTCCTTTCGAAACTTCTGTAAATCTTGCAAATGTGTCGTGTACGCAACGGCAGGGTAACTTGCTACATATATAAATCTTTTAAATCATCCACATCTGCAATAGAGCTTCAAGTTGAAGCAATCATCAATTAATTTTTATAGTTTTCTTCTCTTTTTGTATTTTCACCTTTATGTCGATGTGTCTAACTACTATACACTGCAATTAAATACGAACTTATAGTACACATTGATAAAAACAAATTCTGCTTCGCGGATTTGACTGTTTTTGGTTTTTGTTTGCCTTCTATTATTTTTTTTAATCATTTTGTTTTAGTTGCTCAAACAAAAACTACATATTTTACCTGCCCTACTATTGTATTTACTTTAGACGCATCAACAGACAGTAGAAAGCTTGCATGCGCTTGCAGTGATCTCTCTCCCTTTAATTTTTGTTTAGTTTACTCCAAAAGCAATGAATAGCAATTACGAATAGTATGCCAGTCTCTAAAAAGGCCGAAAATGGATTTCCATAATTTCGTCTCCCGACGACGACGACTCTCGTTGCGCTTGCTCATTATCATTATCATCATCGTCGTTGTTGTCCTCACTAATGGACATATCCACCCAACCATCGTCGTCGCCATCGTCGCCATCGTCGGCATCATCACCGTCATTGTCGTCATTATCGTCACTGTCGTCATCGCTATCCATATCCTCATCATCATCGTCGTCCTCGCCGTTCGAACGATTACGTCGCCGGCGTTGGAAACGAATCTGACCGTTTTCGCTAATATCAAAAACTGCAATATAAAAGAACATGCATATAGGAACATTTTCCTGCACAGTAGATAATCATAAGCGACACTCACTATCTGTTGTATCGCTGTCCGAACCGTCTTCAGAATCAGGATCTTCATCATCTTCCTGAAAGCAGAGACAACCAATTATTCATTATCGCATCGATAAGGTCTTGTGCTGCAACTGTTGCTGCGCCAGCGCCAATGCCTATGTCGGCGCGCACAGCGTTGCCATTAACCGTCAAGCTGCCGCTGCCGCTGCCGCCAACGCCAACCGCTCGGCCTGCAACGCCTCTGTTGTAGCGATTGGCGCGCAGCGCAATACCCGCGCCGCCTCGACTTGCAGCTCCCAAGGCAGCCGGTGCTAATCTAGCGCCGTGAGCGCCGCCAGCGGCACTGGGGCGTGGCGCAGCATGACCATTGCTACCGCGACCGATCACCACACCGACGCCGCCATTGCCACTGGCGGCCGCGGGCAACGCTGAGCTACGAAAGCTCACGATGATTTCTTCACCACCGCCGCCGCTGCCGCCGTTGTGTCGCCGACTTGCGTCGATGTCGATATTGATTTCGCGTATGCGGCCAAAACGACGAATGTGATCACCATCACGACGATTGTTATCAGCGTCGGCGTCGTGGCCGTCGTCGTTTTGATTTCGACTAAGGCCATCGTCAGCTCGATCGCCTTCGCCGCGACCACCACCATCGTCGGCAGCAATGTCGCCAGGGTTATTATCGTCGTCACCGTCGTCATAATCATCAGCGTCCGCAAGATCAGCAGCGCGGTCGGCGCTATTGCTGCCATCATTGCCGACGCCAACACCTATGCACGACGCGTCGCCATGACGCACCTCTTCTTGATTCTCGATCTTCTTCATGCCCACTGCATAGATTTTGACGAATGTCTCCGGTCTCGAATCGTACGCTGGCTGGTTTTCCACTAGCGCGATGAGACTGCCATTATCGTTGATACTCATGTCGTAGATGCCGCGTCGTACATCGATTGTCGATATTGAGGAGTAGTCGTAAGCGTCAAGCACCTTGAAACTGGTCTCGCAGGCGGGCAACTCTTCCAGCATGGCATCTATGCGCTCATCGGAAGCCTCCGCATTGTAGCTGTATATTACGCGCATCGGCGAAAATTTAAGGAAGCATTGATCTAGAACAGGCACAGTCTGAAGAAGGTGGAATGTGCGCAGATCCCAGACTTCGGTGTTTGAAATAATCTGTGGGCGAACAAAATCAGTTTGGCATTACTCTTCAAAATGTCAGAAATGATGAGTCATACCTCCAAACCGTTAGGATGGAATACACCAGAGAGGCATTGATTCAGTTTATCGAGCTTGTGAATCTCCTTGCCGGATCGCACGTCCCACAGAACACCATCTTAAAAGAGCGCGATTAGTATTTGGAAATATATTTTATTATCATAAAACTTACCCGATAAAATAAGCTCGTCGGTGGGGCAGAAGGTGGCGCGATTCTTTACATATTGATTACCAAGCGTCGGCGTGAATGTTGATATCTTATTCCCCGTGTTTATGTCGTAAATAATGGCGCACTGGAAGGAATGTTTTACAGTCATGTGAAACTCGTTCATAGGAACTTTGTACTTACATCATTTTGGGTGCCCAGCACTTTGTCCTGCGTTAAATTGTTGAACTCACAATAGTAATCGTCGGCAAAACTCAATTTTGAGGCAAACTCGTTATGCTTAATGGACCAGAGCACGCTAAGTGGTGACCGCCAGGAGCACGACGTTAGTACCAGGTCGCCAGCACGATTGGAATTTATAGAATCCACCACATAGCTGTGGCAGACAGATGAGAAAATCTCTGCGCCACTGGAAAGATTGAACGCCTTGACTTCACCACGGTGAGTTCCAACAAGCAGTAGTTTGGACGGCGACACTATTTCACATGTGGAAAACTGCAGGGATGGAAAGTCATTGGAACGCACCGACCGCCAAGGTGCGAAGTTCGAATGCACATAACGACGATCCAGGCGTGCTGTGTTGTACCCCGCTTGCGCTTTGAAGATGCGCGCAGTCAGATTAAGATTATCGCCCACACGATTCGGCTTCGGATCAGGACATTTGTGTGGCGTGAACAAATCGAACTGCGGACACGTTGTCATCGGGTTGTTACACAAGGCATGCTGGTTGGTGAGATACTCAGTGACGATAGTGCCGAGCGTAATGCCCGTCTGGTTGCTGTGCTGCGGCGCTGGCGAACCACTCTCGGAGTGCACATCGTCTGGCAGTGAGGAAATTTGTTTTTGCAAAGAGCGCTGCGCGTTCGCATTCGCAATGGCCATAGCGGCAGTACTGGCTGTAGAGTTAGGTGCAGCTGATGTTTTCTCAGATTTTTTCACCAATTTAATAGGTGTCACAGAACTGCTGCTACTCGGCACCTCATCTACGGTAAGGCTATTATTCAACTGCTGCTGTTCGTTTGTTGGCGCGTTGGCTAGGCTGTTGATAGCATTGTTGACATCTTGCATGCGGCTGCGCAAGCGCTGGCGCACTGTTGACGATGGCACCACCTTGTAATCAAATGGTGACTGGTGGAAGTTTTTCGTTGTGTTTAAAGAGGTTTGCGGTAAACCGGCCTCTTTCTGCAAAACTTGGGCGGTCTGGAGAAGCCCCTTTGATTCCAGGTGATCGTGTATTAGTTGATATAACTGTTGCTCGTTATACTGAATTTTGGTTTGTGCAATCACATTTGCTTTGTGAATATTGGCAAGTGAAGGATCCATCTTACTGGAAATTGGTTTAGTTTTGCCCGAAACACGTTCAACCAACTCCAACGCATACTTTTGAAACAAAACGTGCTCAGCGCGCTTTTCCTGAAGTATGGGGTCACGCATAAGCGTTTGAATCTGGCCATTTGCAAAGAGTGTCAATTTGCCCACGATTTGGCGTACGCGTTCCGAACGCGCAAGACCAGCCAATGCGCGGCACGCCATGCCGCGAATGCAATCGGCATCAGTGATCGGCGCTTTGATTTGCATCAAAGATAGAAGAATAATGATTCCATTATTGGAGCAAACAGATTCCCACACCTTCTCTATCAACTCTTCGCAATAACGATTATTTTGCTTATTACGCTTTGTAGAACTAAATACTTTCATGACATTATTCGGCTCCTTCTGTACAATGAAAATAAATATTTAATGATCGGTAAAGAAAAAGTGAAGAGTTAATTAGCTCACTCTCGCCAAAGGTGCGCAGACGCAATGGACAAGTACGGCCAATGCGGATTTCTGAACATCAGCATCGGCTGTGATGTCACCCGAAGCGGCAGCCAAAATGAAGTAGATTCCTGAAGCACCTGCACTGTCTGGTACATCCAAGCGCTCGCAGTAGACCAGAAATACTCTCGGTATAACACAGCAAATGGATAGAACATCCAATGCCGAACGCACTATTTCGGATCTAGTTAACCAAAAAAAAAAAGAAGTGAACTATTAAAGAATATTTAGAATTTTTAAGCAAGTTTACCGAACACTGTTATTCCAATCATAGGAAAGAGCTATAATTTTCAGAAGCAGGGTAATGCCGCTCACTTTCAATAGTTTGTCCACAGGTGCCCAGTGAGCGCGCACTGACGTATGCTCCTGCAATGTTCGCACTTGCTCGCTGATCTGTTCCAAGGAGGCCTTTGCCGCTTTGGTGACAATATTTTGGGAGAATTCAGTTAATAGCGAACACTGCTGGCGCATGAAGTTGTTATATTTGTAGAAAAGATGGCTCTCCATATAGCGTTTAAGTGCGACACACACATGCCGCACGAGTTGTCTCGAAGCGCACTCCAAATCGTCATTGACCGGATTCTCATCGTCATCGTTATTGGATGGATTCAAAATTTTAAGAATGGATATCTAGAAAGAAAGGATATTTGTATTTAAACTCACGGCGGATTTAACGTAAAGTATCTACGTACAACATTGTATAGCTTGCGAAGACCGTCTTGGGAATCAAATTCGTCCAAAATTACTTTGAATTGAAAACTGAGTCCGAAAAACATGGTCGCATGACAAACACCGGAATCATACGACCTTTCCATTAACCACAGTGCGTAATGCACCAAGTCTACGATTACATTTCTGGGCATGCTACATATGCGTTCCATAGCTTCTTCACAATAGGCGAGGTAATATAGTGTTATCGACACGCCAGTGGCAGCGATGCTTGGACGTGGTACTTTTAGTAGCAACTAAAATGATTACATATGTACATACATATATGTATAATAAAAAGAGAAAACCCCGATATTACAAAACTTAAAATGATTACCTCCAATCCGCCATGCGCAATGAATTCCAGTGCGAACTTCTTGTGACAAAGTAGTGAAGCGAGATATTTTAGAGCCTCAAATGCCAAACAACTATCTCGTCTATCCAAATTCTTCAAATATCCAAACACAAACTGCATTGCGCGATGTTCAAAAACTAAGCCCAAATAATCTTGATGATTGCCCAATGCAGTGACATACCGCAGCATTAGTGCTTGACTGGATTCAGCAGTGGGTGGATGCAATGGAATATAAATTTTTTTGTAGTAACGGGAACCACTTCCCTGAGGGAAAGCATCACGACTATTTTCCAATAGTGTGGACATGTTAGAGTTTGAGCAGTGAGTGTCTAGGGTATTCTTAAAGTTTTGCGAAGCCGATGCTTCTGCTGACGTGGTTGCCTTCGCTTGATCATCTGCTTGCGGTGACGATAAAGATGCCACGTCATTGGTTATCCAAGGAGGGAGAAGTTGTTCAAATGAATTATTCGCTGAATTTGGCTCCGTTGGAAGCTGAGCAGCCAAGGATTGACCACACTCAGTGCCAGGTTTATAAAAGGCTTGTAACATATGTAAACGCTTTAGAACCTTTGGTATGAGGCGGGTATTGTGTTCCTTAAATGACACCGCTATTTCGGTTACTTCCATTGCGGCTCCCAGCAAACCGGTTGCATAACTTTGCAAAGGTTCAATACTATCTTCGGCCCAACCAAAAATTCTATGAATAAGATGTTCGAATTCCCCTTGGAAGACGGCTGATGTTTCCAAACCAGGTGCAATAACCAGTATTAAGCGACAAGCCAGAATATTTAACTCTAAGGAACTTTTTTGTATATTTTGACGGGTGAAGAAATTATCTCGCAAATAATCATTTACAAGCTAAAATGGATATTAAAAGGAATATAGTAAATACCTTAAAATTTATAAGTATACCTTGGACATATGTACATACATTTCACTCATTTTCTGAAAGCAACATAATGCTAAAAAAAATTTTGAGTTAGGTTAGGAGGAATGACATTTTCTTCTATGTTGTGTAAAAATTTAATAGCTTATTAGAATAGCTAATTTTTTAAGGGAGCGCATGTAAACTGTAAACTTCAAAGCCAATTTCATGCAGCAAATGAGCGATGTATATGTATGTATGTATGTTAATCCAGAAAGGTCCTATTTAATATTTTTTTTTATTTACAGAGTATTAAGAAAGCCTTATAAGTAGTGATTTTAGTTTCGAATCTTTTTAAAGTAAATACATAAATATGTGACCTGGTCTACGAAAAGGGAGCTTACGTGCGAAAACTAGTTTTCTGTGAAAAAGCTGTTAAAAGTAAGCAACTCGTTTCGTCAGTTTCTCATTATCTCGTTAATTGTTCTCCGCGCCGGACGTCCAGTAAGTGTTGTTGTTGGTCCAGTAAGTGTTGTTGTTGGTCGGAATATTATTATAGTTTTATTATTATTATTATTAATATTATTATTAATATTATTATTATTATTATTATTATTATTATTATTAATATTATTATTATTTTTAGTACACTTCTAAGCAAGTTAGGATTTTCTGCTTTTCACCACGTGGAAAAGCATCTCATCTTCCATCCGAATCAACCAAAAAGTGAAAATTGATTTTTTGACACCTAAGCCCCCTTTCCGTAGACCAGGTCACATATGATTTTGTATTATCTTATTTATTAATGTAATAACAGTTTTTAGTTCTAATAGGCATTTGGTGTTTAATCTAACGATTTGAGTACAAAGCTGAATTTCGGAAGAATATGTGGTGGGGCCCTTTTATATTAAAGTAACAATATGTATGTAAATACCTTATTCATGAATACATCTTTACGGAATAGTTGCTTCAGCAATACACCAAATTGGCACTTAGGATCCGTCCGATATGGATGGCGGTCCTCAAAGGGGTCGTGGTCTTTGCGCATGTAAGTTTCCTTTTCTTTTTCAAAAATTTCTGCCAACCTAAAATATGTCAGTTTTTACTATAAATAATATAAGTCCATTGAACTAGACTAACAATTAATTTGTGTTGCTATTTTTAATTTCGTCACGTTAGTCAATAACAGATAACAAAAATACCAAAAAAAAAAACTTTCTAGAAAAGAAAACAAAAAGGAAAAAGCAGCACGCTACTTCGTCGACGATCACCTTCATTATTACAAACAAATTAAAAAAAAACCTGTTTGCGCATACATGTTTAGACGGGCAAAGCTGTAAGTATGTGTTTGCGCAGTAATTTACCTTTTCAGCACTGGCACTGGGTCGTATCCGGAACGTGTATGATGCGCCTCCCAAATCTGCAATACTTGTGCCATGTCTTTGCTATCAAAATTTGGCTCCTCATCTTCGAATCCATAAAATGGATCAGCATCAGCAGCAACGGCAGCTACTTCATCACCTGCCTCTTCATTATCGCCCGCCACCTCATTACCCGCTGCCGCACCATTCTCGCCCTCCACATTGGCTGCGACGGAGCTACTGGAGCCCTCTTCTACGGCACCATTCATCTCGGTATCTGTATCTGCACTTGCCTCAGTTGATGGTTGACCCTCATCTGCATTACTACCACCTTCACTCCCATTCGAATGTTGCTGCGTCGAATCTTCTGTGGGTGTTTCTGCCTCTGCGGCGGATGTGGGCTGAATATCTTCTTCATCACGCATTTCCGCATCACTTTGCGGATGCTCGACAGGCTCTATGTTGTTGGGCGGCATTTAATGCCAATATTTTTCGATATTTTAACACAAATCTGTCCCTAACCTTACAAAACTATTCCACTGGCGAGGAAAAACCGAATTCTTCCTTCGTTTGACTTTGCGTGTACAGTTGTTGTTGTCGTTTACCCCTTTCAGTTTTCGGCTATTTCTTAGATATTTCAAGGTTAAACGGATATGCTAATGCAATTGTAACTTATTCACCCTCGTTTATAAACAAATATTTTTGTTAATATGCACTTATTGGTATTATAAATAAAAAATGTGAAGCGTTTCAATTGTCCTCCGAAAAATGAAATTTCACCGAGCTAGCAGCGAGAAAATGCACGCGCTTTTTTCGCAGCTGTCAAATATCAAATCTGCCAGTGCTGCCAGATATCGCATAAAACTAGCACATGGGAATGTTAAGAATACGTGATACAATTTTTTAGAAAGCAAACTGAACCCTTGCTCCGACAGATGAAGAACTTGGGATAATAATATTTCATTAGTTTTGTGTTTTAAAAGCTATTATAAAACGATTTCAAAATCTAAATGATTTTGGAGGCTAGAAGTGTAAACTTAAAACGGAAGTAGATTTACGTTATTTGTAGATTTACGTTCTTCGGTACAAACTATAATTTTTGAAGGTATGGCAAGCCTACATGCTTTTTCGTTTTTCATCCATCCCAATTCGCATTTCCATTAAACAAAACAGCTGATTTTTCCAAAACAAATAAGCGAACGCTGACGTTTTAATTTATTACTTGGTAAACAAATTTACTTCCTCAAACAGCTTTTGTGGGATCGAAAAACACATAGGAACACAAAATGACGTTTCTATATATATTAAGTTGGATAGCAATGGTGATACACATCGTCTTTATCACAGTCTCAATTGGTAAGAAAACGGTGATGTAAAGAATACTGTAACAAGCCATTTTTTGTTTTACGATAGCGGCTGGTCTCTATTACATTGCTGAACTGGTGGAAGAGTACACACAAACTGCACGGAAACTGATCACGTTTATGATTAGCGCCACGGTTTTTGTTTACATATTATTCATATTCTGCGATAACTTGCCGTGGAGCATGATACTTTGTGGCTTTGCGGCGCAAGCTTTCCACGGCCTCATCATGACCAGTTTTCCTTTCATACGGTTCCTGTCAGTACCTTTTATTGGGGCACTAGTATTTTTGATTATAAACCACTTTTTGGCATTTCAACATTTCACAAGCGTTTACTATCCGTTTATGCAGGTACGCAAATAAGTTTAATTTTGTTGTAGACAGTGGAATAACCTTTGTTTTAGGTGCTAGCATACTTCACTATATGCCTCTGGATGGTGCCCTTCTCGCTCTTTGTATCCCTCAGCGCAAATGATAATGTACTCCCGACGACTGTAAACGACAGTATGGGTAAGTTGAGAAGATTCTTAAACTCTTTCTTGCAAGAATTTAATATTTTTCATGATTACAGGAAGTCAAGATGTAGTAACAAACTACTTTTCACGCGGGAAAAAGCAGGGTCTACTCTCGTTCTTTAATTATGCTAAAGATAGCTTATTGCCAACACGAAACAAGAAATCCTTTTAATGATGCATCATTTTGGATGCAAAAATAAACTTATTTCCAAACAAATATTTAAGAAGAACGGACTACTACTAATGAGCAATTTAGTTTAGGAGAAAAGTCTTGGTAATTGAATTATTTATTACATTTGTAAATGAAATATAAAAAAACACGATTAACTTAACCAACGCTGTGTTACTAATTATAGGAATCAAAATTAAATTAATCAAAAATTAAAAAAAATCGTAAATCTATAAGGACTGCTTAATACTAATTTATAAATCCGTAGGCTGTTTCCAGAGTGTAGAAAATCTCTTTTGAAATTTATTTTTCCTGTGTCTTTACGCTACCATCCGCCATACCGAAGTATGCTTTAGTTGCCATATTTACGAATAATCCTGTTTCAACTACACCGGGTATTTGCAGCAATTCCTTGTCCACCTTTGCCCAGTCAAAATCGCACTTTTGCGGAAAGTTCCAATCCAAGATAAAATTTCCATTATCTGTAACACATGGCCCAGCTTTTGCTACAGCCATACGCAACTTCAATTCGCCACCAAACTTATCTGCAATACGTTCTCTAATAGGTACGTAAGCCATAGGCACTACTTCGATAGGAATACCCTTCTTGTATTGGTCTCCCAAATGTTCCGAATTTTTTGTGTAATCTGCGATCACCACCAAGTCTTCGGCGCAAGAAGCAACAATCTTTTCTTGCAGCAAACAACCTCCTCCACCTTTGATAAGTATCATGTTACGATCCACTTCATCAGCGCCATCAATTGCAACTGCCAGTTTGGGATTGCGGTCCAAATCACCGAGTGTCAGGTTATGCTCCAAAATCAATTGGCGCGCCTGAAAGCTTGTCGGCACACATACCACATTCAATCCCTCCTTATGTACCCGCTCTGCAAGGCGTTCCACAGCAAACACTACAGTAGAACCACTGCCAATACCCACAGCTGTGTTGGTTATAACCCATTCGTCCACTGCGCGATGTGCGGCCGTGCGCTTGGCTACGTTCAGGGACATTTCTGTTTTATGTGACTTTGATTTCGAGAGATTTGTAAACGCTTTCCTTGTGAGGCTGCTGAGATTCCAATGGCAGTCTACTGTGTTGAGCAAACGAAAGGCTAGCGTCTTTGTCATGTGCTGGCTTTAATTGCAATATAACTAGACAAAATATGTCCTGTTTAATGGAACAGCTAGCAAGCAGCCCAAACGAGAAAACTTAAAATATCATTCGGTCAAAAAAGGTCAGACACCGACACCGGGTAATTCGTTATCAGTTTTGAGAATGAGTTTGAGATCAAAACGAAACGTCATCTGGCTGGAACAGTGTGGCCCCTTTATTAGTAATTCCTCAAAACATGAGGAACTTCGGGTGCGCTTGAGTAATTTTTGAGGATTTTTATTTTGAGGAATTTTCTCTCGATATATTTGCAGATAACAAATGCAGCCATGTTTTACACAAGAGAGTTGTCAAATCGCTGTGCAAATTTTTGAACAAAAAGCTCCCCGAAGTTTTATAAAGAGCGAAATACACCACACTAGTGGCTTCCCCTCAAAAAATCGCGACTACTCCATGCATGCGTGTAAAGAGTACTCTCAAAGGACCAAGGTTATTCCTAAATTAACCACAATTCATATAAAAAAGATGATCCAATTAACATTGCGATGTCCTAGGGCAGGACCATATACTCCATCCCTGCATTACATCAGAGTAGCACAAAACTACTCCAACATATTAACAATGGCATTGTTGTTATATTTTTTCGTTTGTACACCCTTTTGTTCTTCACTTCTGAAATGCTTTTTCGAAATTAATAAAAACCAAAAACAAAAATTAAAAACTACATGTTGCCTCTGACGGCATTTGAATCCGAACATGCTGGGAGCTAACAACTAACAGCGAGCATCTCTACACGTTCAGCTACAGCCAGACATGCAAATGTGCTTTCAAATGCTCAACTTCAATCACATTTCGTTAAAACACGAGCAGGGATCGTGTAACAAACAATAATCTGGCACAGAGACACGAGTTGGTCCGCTACACCATGACAGAGGAACACTTTTGTAAGTACTCCAATATACCACAAATAGACTACATGGTCCAACGATTTTTGCAGGGTTGTCAAACATTCTTCAAACCTACTTTTCCCATTTCGCCATACACAATGCAAACATGACTCGTTCAAGCAAAGAATTTTAGTTTTCTTCCGGTTCACAATGTAAAAGGGTTTGGGTTTCTTCCATTTTTCCCTCCCGCGTCCTCATTCCGTTGCGAATGAGACGATTTTATCATACAAAACGTAAGCGGTTTGATCACACCTCAAAATGGCGACCAGAAAATCAAAAAATTTTGATTATTGTTCACATTTCCCTCAAACGGCTTGTCAAACCTTCAAACACCCTCACACACAAAATAAATAGCTTTGAATAAAGAGATATTTCGCTTGGTTGGCGTTTTTCGCTCTTCACATCTGCATTTGCGGCTAAATACACAAAATGTTATCGATCATTTTTTTCATTCTATCGTTATATTTTCAACTTATGTATTTTGAACATGCAAAATCTCGGTAACGAATGGAGAGAACGCGCACTGTTCGATCATATGGATATTCATATTGATTCTTCATTAGATCCAGAAAGTTATAGGAAAAAAGGTTTTGAATTAAAAGATTCTTCAAGTTCATATAAGTTTCCCAATTAAAAAAAAAAAATATATATATATCTGCATTACTAATATATGTCGCCCTTTTCTAATGCTTCAGTAGAACGTATATTAAATGGTTTAAAAATGTGTAGGACTGAGTTGAGGACCAGATTGAGCACTGTATAGTTGCAGTAATATTATATACAAACCAAAGCATAAAAAACAACGGTGATACTTTGCTTAAACCGCAACAAAAATGTATCAATTGAATTGGAGAATGTAATTAATTTTTATACTAAGTACCTGTAAATTATGTGCAGTACACAATACTCATACTGTAAAAAAAATTTTGAGTAATTTGTTCGGCTTTTGAGGTTATTTCATTTGTTTTTGAGGAATTTGGTAAGTTTTGTGGCAACACTGCATTGGAATGAACTACCGGAATTCATTGGAATGCAGTACCGGAAGAACAGGGTGAGCTTTGACATACACAGCTCTGTTTCCTTCGCCTACAGCTTCCTTTCCCGCCCAAATTTGACAGTTGAATCAGTGAAAATTCCAGCGTTTGCGGGTGCACAGTGCACAAGTTAAATTTTTAATTAATAAATTGAGCGAAATATTAGAAATGGGAAATGATTAGTGTTAAATTTGATTCAGTGTTTGAAAAAGTGTGTGTGTAAGACGAGAAATATTTAACATTCGCGTTTTCTTTGTCTAAATACAAAATAGCGACCCTTCACCGAGCCGACATTTTAATTTAGCGGTGATGAGGAAGTCTGATTATTTATGTGAATTTCTGTGTCCAAATGCAGCAGTACCTTGAAAAGGTTTAGTGGTGCTCCGATCAGAATGCAATTCAAATATATGCGTTTTGCGTTTTAAGTGCATAATAAGGGCATATGTATGTATGTACATAAATAAGACTAAAGTGTGTGAAGTGTTCTTTTATAAGTGTAACTACGTATACTGCCAAAAAAAAACAAAGCCAACCGAGACAAAAAGGTATGTGCTCACATAATGCATTTATTTACCTCAAAGTTACAAACTTATATTATATATGTAGTTTTATTAATGCTATTGTATATCTGTGTTCGTATGGAATAGTAGCTTATGCCGAAAGGCTGGCTTTAGTATAGTG